TTTGTACTACAGATTTTGAGTACTTACTCAAATATTAGTTGCGTATTTATCATATTTTGTCAGCTTCTTTTTTATCATTACTATTATCATACGAAATATTTTTAATTTTTTTGTTTTTTCTTAACATTAAATATAGTGTTTATTTTTCACGACGTATAGCATATTTTTTATATATATACATATATTATTTAATTACTGAAAATTATTTATTATTTTAATTAATAGTAATTTTCATCAATCTAATAAATAACTTGAATGCAGCAGTACACGTAAGCACTAATCTACATATCGTAGTCCTCAAAGTCGAGTTAAGATCCGATCCATTTTTCATTTACACCAAAATACTCGAATACCAAAAAGGCCAACTCGACACAACTCTACAATTCTCGATCCTTAATAGATGTACCTTCATACTGTGTGTTGAGTCTCACTTATCGTTATGTCGCATATCAGTAAACGGACGTGATTAATTTATAATCGAATACTCGTCTCTGGATGTCATGTTTTTATTAAATATGATAGTAAGTGAAGATATATGGAGAAAACATTATAGCAATGTATTGTAAATTAACTATTAGATACATGTATAGACAAATGATTTTACAAACAGAACAATTACCTAAATATACAATATTATTAATTTTATTTTATTTTATTTCTTTTATTTTTGATTGATTCGTTGCATCTGTGGCATGCGTCAATCATATGTATTCTATACGGTAAATGTAAATTATTTTAATACAACTTGTCATATTAAACTATTGTAACAAAATATTAGTCATATTAAGAAAATATCTATAAATATAATAGTAATTCTAACTTTATATTAAAATTACAATGAATATGTAAATGTACTCAAACATCTATCACGATTTAAAAGTAATATTGTTTATTACATTAAATTGTGACAAAAGTGATGGTATCTTCTCTAAAATAATAAATAACCAGAGTGATCTATGTCAGTTCACGACAAAAACTACGGAACTTGATATTTTTTTGCACGTGTACTTAAAGTAACGGCAAAAATGTACCCATTTAGGTCATAAAAACAAATCGTTATAAAAATTATTTGGTTAAATATATTGCTATTCACACGCTCGGATCAAGCTTTCGACAGTGGTCATAAGAAACAGGAAAAAAATTGCTTGGGTATACTTATTTACAGAGTTCTAAGTTATCAGTATCTTGGAGCACGCTCCGACCTAAGATACGAACGAGACGACGAATAACCTAAGACCTAAAGACCAGTAGTTCTGATCAGAAAATGTGTGAATAGTGCTTTATACAAGGACAATATCACGATATTTCTATCTGGTAATCTATATTGATCTAAAATTCAAATAAAATATTGTTAGCATATGATTAAAATAAATCCAGTTTCGGCTATTTTTTTATGCAACTTAAAATGGCAAACAAACTGACGCTCCACCTGATGGAAAGTAGTAACCATCGCCTATAGACATGAGCAATACCGTGAACATAACAGAGTATACTACCCCCCAAGCGTTGCCATTTCGTTGACTCAGGTGTTATTCCTCTGTACCCTGTAAATTGACTGCCACCCTTCAAACCAAAACACAACCTTGACGGTAGAAACACAATTAGGACAGAGGTGCCCAAGCAAACGACTTTTGTACAAAGTCTCCCTCTGGTGATGAAATTAATTCGATCAGTCATATAAGCAGGTTTTATGTTTAATATAACTTTTTTACTAAAATATTTGGTACCCCTTACTTCTACTCCATGAAACAGATCCACTGCCTTCTCGTGTGTTCTACAAAAACTCTAAACCATCAAAAACAAACATTCTTTACAAAAATCAATAAGAACCCTTTCCGATAGCATTTGAATGTACACGGCTATTTAAATTCAACAAATAAAAAAAGAATTGAAAAGGACTCGTAATCGAAGATGGCCGATCTGTCAACTGACTTTGTATTTTAATAATATAAGCATCCTATGGTATGAATAAATCATAATATCGATTGTCGATCTGTTGATGTGACGTTGTGCGGTATAGTTCCTGGTGTCAGTCAATATTTTGATTCTATTTATAGTATCTCTTAAAGGATACCATTTTTTCAGCGTCAAAAAATGTTTATGTATTTTTTATTGTGAAATAAGAAATCTCTATTGACGATAAGAAATTCAAAAAATGCATTGATATCAATTTAAAACAATCAAAAAATAGTCGTGAGCTACCAATGTTCACTGACTACCTACAATAACCATTTGAGGTCATCGTGGGTCACCTAATGGTTATCCTTCACTTTCAGCCTATATAGAACTAAGCAATCTTTTTTCCATCACCTCATAGGTGCTGATCCATCGATCTGTATTATTTACATTATTTCCTCTACGGATATTCTTACAAAACTGAAACTCCAAGCAGACCTTATAACACGTTGAGCGACCTAAAACGTCCTCTAAATTTCAAACTGTAAATTAATGAAAGATAAAGATGACAAACAAAAACAATCAACCACTGGCCACACTTGTATTTCCGAATAAAGAACCGCACCCTACTGCGCGGGCGCACCCCATTTACAAACAATGCCCGACACCACCATTCATATTCGCCTCCTATTAATCCCGTGCTCTTGATACTACTTATAAAATAAAGTTCTCTTATACTCGTCATGTATTAAAGAATTACTCATCCATATCAGATAATATGAAATGCGCATCAAACATTATAATTGATGATTAAATTCAAACGGAGTGACATGAAGTAAGATCGTGCCTTTAAATACCATGCTCGCATGCCTAAAATAATTGATAAATCAATGCAGTTCTCAACGCAAGGGGCACTAAATCAAAAAGAGTAAGTGAACGCCTATCATAACGTTTTGACGTAGAGTAACGTGCCTGATATTAAACTGTTCCCGCTAGATGGTGCGATAAGTAGCTGTCAAACTAAGCTGTCATTAGCTTATTAATGGCGGCCGGCCGCCATATTGATAGATTAAAAGGTTATTTGGATTTTATTATGCTCTCGTCTCGGTTAGTTTTGTTATTAGTTTTGACTGTCAAAAACAAATATAAGTTTTAGATACAGTTAACGATGCTGCTAAATATTTGTTAAAATTACCTACTTTTATGTTAGATAACGGTATCTCGTAGTAAGAATAATAAGGGGTTTGTATTGTTTGTCAGTTTTATGTTTGTATATGAAATTTATAATTAAATATTACTAACTTTACTTGTACTATGTTTACTTGTATTATTTTTAACCTATTGTGTTATATTTTCGAACGTACAGTCCAAACAGAATACTTTCTTTTAACAAATATTGTTTCGACAACTAAATCTTTATTGATAAAACAACAGTTACAAATATTTTTTTCTTGGATGATCTAATTAAACTGTGGGACATCAAACATAATAGCATATATCCGTCGACATGTCATAGAATACAATGGGCCCACACCTACGCAGCGTCTGGCGTAAAGCCCGTTCTTGCGCATCCTCTTGCAATTTTGAAACAATTAGCATATCCACAAATGAGAGTTCGTTTCTAAAAATAAGTTAATCTAATTTATTGCCGCGTTTACGACAAACAAACCAGGCCGGCTAACACTTTCGCTATTATCCATCGTTTTTTACTGGCAACACTGTCTTATTTAGCCAAATATAATCTAGCAGGTCAAACTGATCTACTTAAATTAAGAACTTTAACGTTTCGACATAAGGTTGCTTTTCGCTTAACAGTTTTTGTGATTTCTGTTGTTTTATTTATCTAAGCGTCCGGCATTGGACCACACACGGTCGCAAGTCAACATCGGTCCCAAGAACAACACTATAGCACTTAGTATACTTTACAGGTAAACTAGTAACTTTTGAAGTGAAAAGAAGTCGTCATAAGGTTTAATTTGCGATTAAACAATCTCGAAAATGCATAGGTTTTGTAAAAAAAATAATAAAAAATATTTAAAAAAAAACCAAGTACAGAGTTCAAAATCCAAGGATACCAAGGACACATGTCTGTATGTACTAATAAGTACGTGTAGAGTAACATATTTGTCTATAATTGTTGTTTACCTCATTTTAAATTGAAGATAAAACTGTTTCTGTGCCCGCGGATTTGTTCACATTAATGTTTATCAAGGTAAACATTACTGTAGATCTAAAATCAATAAAAACTAATATGAAAAAGATAACTGGTAAATAATGCTACTAGCATTAAGTCTGCCTTTTGTACCATATTTTAATTTAATCAATAAATTTATTTAAATAAATATTTATTTTCTAGTAATTATTAATATATTTGAAACAATAGGTTCTACTCCCGTACTGACCGCATATTAGTATTCTGATGATTGAACTTGTATTTTTCATTGTAAAGCAAAATCTAAACAAACAAATTTGCATCAATAAAATTTAACTGAAACCCAATTAACCAAACTGGTTAAAATTAGTAACAAATCGAAACATTCAACGGGAAAAAACTAGTGCAAAAGTTAAGCTTTAAATACGCCCTAAACGGCGAAACTGGTTAGGTATTTACATATTATAAACTCTTGTTTGTAGGAAGCACTAGTGTATTTTAATAATATCGATATATATAAAAAGTTCCATCAAAGGCCGACAATCACGACTATTAGTAACATATCCAATTAATAAATTTTGGATATATGGTATGTATACATAGCATTATAATCTAAGCTGGCACTATTGGATCCGCAACTATTCCATTGTTTACTAAGTTTAAATTATATTATTTTTTTAGTTTTACTGAGTTAGACAGCTTGTAAACAATTTCGAGTAGCAAATTAAAATATTTTCAATCTAATGTGTCTCCTCGTAGTATCACTATTTAATTTGTAGTCTCGTCATACGTTTTAGCTATATGCAATTGTAATATAAAACAAAAACTACATATATCAGAATGGATAATACGTAACCTTCAAGAAAAGAGCACATCCCTTTTTAAAACGCCGGCAGCACACTTGCAATTCCTCCGGTGTTTCGAGTGCTACTGGACAGTGGTAGTCACTTACCATCAGGTGAGCCGCATCGATTTCTCCCTGTGTTATAAAAAAAAAACCGTAACAATATCTCTAAAATCGTCATCAAAATCAAACCATACCATTCACCACGCTTGATGTATAAACAGACAAAAATCGACCGATCTCTTTTTAGATGTGATGAGGTGTAGTGTAATATTATGTATATTGTACTTAAACATTTACATTTGGTGTATGTAACGACATGAAATACGAGTAACAACTCATGCTAGCAGACAAGAAAGACAAGAATTACCTTATTGTATTTATTCTGGTCACATATATTTCATATAGATAGAAATATTTATATTACACAAAACGTTGCTTGATTATGCTTATTACCCACTTTTATTTTTCAATCATGTATTGAAATAATCACGAGTTAAAACAATGAATATTTAATTTTTTTAAAGATAGATATGTATTTGAAATCTCAACAATACATTCGGTTTATATTTTTTACGACAATATATTGTTTTCGTAATTTACAAAAGCGAATAGAAAAAAAAGTTTTTTTTTAATGTAAAATTTATTTGATTGAATAAACGTAAGTAATGTATTTAATCTATATATGAATATTAATTATATTTATATAAAATACACAAACTAAAAGCCTATTATTGTATATTGTAATTGGTACTCCTTTGATGGAAACTTGTCGTGTTAAATTAAATAAAAAATAAACAGTGACACAATGGTCAGATGCTGATGCTAGCTAATTACAAGACAAACCCATTGCAAAACTTTAGTCCCAGTCTCGCTTCTCTACTTAAAAAAAAATCTCTACATTCTTCCTATAACTATTTACCCCACTAGTTAGTACCTAATCATGTACCGATCAGGTATTTTAACGTGGACGGTAACATGCGTAGGCGCATTTGTACCAGTAGTCACATAAACAGTGAGCTACCATAACTCAAATAGATTTACATTTTCATTACATCTGCGGACGAGTCAACAAATCGGTACAGTCGGCAATAAAAATTGTCTAAATAAAAACATTGTAATTCTTTCAATTAATCTTCGTATGCTACTTAGCAAACTTACTTAGAAGAGATCGTTATTTAGCAATATGGCCCTTTGTTACCTCTTTCTCTCTTGATTTTATGTAATTCAATTTATATAATTAATTATTCATTTTGTTTGTGTACATATTGTTAATCTATATAATATTTTTTTTTATATAAAACTTAGAATGGCAAACATGCTGACGGTCCACCTGATGGGAAGTGGTAACCGTCGCCTATAGACATGAGCAGTATCATGGACATAACAGAGTATACTGTTTCACCCATGATACCCCCCATGCGATCTGTATCATTCTTTGAACAATAAAGAGTTTTCATTCATTCATTTATTCAAATAAACTGATGGTCCACCTGATGGCAAGTCGTAACCATCAACTATAAACATGAACACTGCAATGCCCATTCTACATTCATCAAACCATTCATACGGTTTTATTTAATTTGTATTTATTACAATGAGCTAACTGACCTGTCTTTTCATTCTCACCTATCATCCCTCACTAGTATTCTACCAGCGTATACTGTTAATCTTGGCGGGATTTTCATTCCTTTATCATCTATCGAAAAATAACTTTAGCCTCTTTCAGCAGATTGCCTATTTGTTCGATATAAGTATGAACTAGAATGACCCCTACCGACAACTGTACCGTTTATGCTCACGATAAAATATTACTACAATACAGATAAATCTAAAAATTACGCCTAAGTTCCAAGTATGTCGCGTATAGCACACGCTCATGCTAATACTGTAGACTGCGCAGTGCAGGGGTGAAACGACAGGAAGAGGCGTGCCCGCACCACATTAGCGACCTTTCGACGAATCCACGCCACCTCTGATCTTATGGTATTTGTCGTTATGCTCGATACTCGATAATTAATAACGGTTTCTTTGAAACCATACTATGGAGCCACCCTAAATAATCTAAACCTAATGAGAAATATGTAACCAAATTAACTAAACAATCAAAAGTAACTGGAATATTAAAATTATTTAAAGCTGTTTGCACACTGACTATTGACTACGCTATTCATCATTATCATCATATCAGCCATTAACTGTCCACTGCTGGACATAAACCTTCCCCATAAGGAGAGTTTTGCCAGCAGTCGCCACGTTTAGCAGGCTGGTTAGCAACCGTCATTAGGCTTTTAGTAATGCTTTAAAAGAGACGCTACTGCCCATCCCTCTACCATTACGTTTCCTAAAACACCCCTTACGACACCCTCAGGAAAGGAAGGGGTGGCCTATTCTATGCCAAGACCACAAGAATAGCTATGCTATTGTGTATCATAAAATGACATAATAGTATACCTGAACTATCATTCCAGGAACGCATTTCTTTGTGGATGATAATGAAATAGTGACCCTATCTGTATCTGTACACTGGCAGGATACCAGTGAGAGATGACAGATAAGGGTGAAGGCAGATCAGTTCGTTCATTGTGAAGAATTTACCAGAAATCAATCTTTGTTTCTAGATGATTTTCAACCACAATTGAAATGCGTGGTATCGACTCGATATATTGCTAGCGATCTAGTAGCTAGACCGCATTACTAATTATTTTCTCCACCCAATAACCTATGTTAACTTTAACAGCAAAAGTTGAAAAGATAGCTTTGACTGCAAATGTAATATTTTTACATTTGCAGACAGAAAGACAGAGAGAGTGATCTTTTTAATCCTATATTAATTAATTTCCTAATTTAGACATGGCAACCCCACTTATAAAGAAGTAAAAACTAAGAACAATGACAGTATCTTTTTCGACCACAAATAATCGATTCTTGACTTCTGTAAACAAACCACCTGTGTTACGCAGACCACACGTAGAAGGCTATATGTGACAACATCGCCTCCGAGTTAAGAGGGCAAACAGCGAGGGCGGTAACCGCGGGAGGTACAGATACACTACCGTAACTCAGTAGTTTGATGGCCCTCAATAACTGTTCAATATGGGGGGGCTTTCAATTGAAACAGTCATACAAACAATACTATAGAAGCACCGTTCAATTTGGCACAATCAATTTCTTTCAAATTACTTCAATAAAAAGATTAAAAAAAAGAAAGCAAAGAAAATTATCAATCCTATTTTATATCACGTGATATTTTCATCAGTTGTAAAACAATTTTTATATATTGTTTAACTGAAAAATATATACGGAGGCGTAAAGCATACTTTAAATTACAAAAAAAAAACTCGAAAAACATTATTTTAATAATATCGGTCAGGTACGAGTTAAACTAACACGCCAAAGTTTCTGTACATAGATATGAGCTAAAATGAGCTTTATAGCATCTCTTATACGAAATAGACATATATTATGTCATTAATATTGGTATTGCAATTGGTAATGTCTTACTGTGGAGCATAATTGTGGTTAAAAACTAAACCGCATAATTGAGTGGGTTTTTGGAGGCTTTGTTTTTTATAATATCCTAATAACTTATTTACTTAATTAATTTTTTTCTAATCAACTATTGTGATTTATTAAGTAAAAGATTTTTTATTCTAATTCTCCGTATAGTGACAAAATAAAAATAAAATACCACTACTTTTCGTTCTCAGGATGTCGTAAAAGACACCTAAAGTATCAATGCAGAAAAGGAAAGCCCATAGCAAATATAAAATTCTATACCAAGCCACTTAGCCATCGTAATGAGTGGGAAGAAAGGCTATTTAATACCTTATTAAGAGAGACTAGAGTCCAACAGTGGGACATTAACAGTTTGCTATAATAGTAACAAAATAATTACCACAATAAATAGTGTACCCCCGCGTGATAACGACCTCAAAAAATCGATAGAATGACTTCTTAGTGAAAAAAAAAAATATTCTTAATAATTAAATATCAAATAGGTACAATACAATACAATAAAAAATTTAAACGAGACAAAAATCAATCAATTTTAATACTCACGTAGATACTGGCCCGGGCAATTGTGAAAAAATAGGATATCAGACTACATTAACATAATGAGATGCGAACAAACCCTCGAACGCTGTTAGTGGGTGCTTATTAACAAATAGAAGAGGTCGAAGAGACCCAAGGTCCTGGGGGACCACCGGTGTTAACATCAGCAAGTCTAATGGGGCAAAAGATGTGCTAGTCATTTTAGGGTCGGGGACAGTAAAAGATAATATATCAATATTTGTAAAATAGCTTAGCTTAGACTTATCTATTGTTGATTTACAAATAGTTAACAATGTTTTATTTTGTACAGAATATTATATTTAATAACAGTTAAATTATTATTAATATAGAACAATTAAATTAAAGGTAAAACCAAATAATAAACCTGAAACATTAAATAGATAATATGGTTTATCGACGGTATTTAATATTCAAAACTTTTTACATTAAATAAACAAAAGATAATTATTAAATAAAGTTAAATCGGTATTTTTTTTATTAAATAGGCATATATATATATATATATATATATATATATATATATATATATATATATATATATATATCTAGTAAACTCGCAGGCAGACAGTGCCCAAATTCCTTTTTTGCTTTTTACTATAAAAACATTAATTATACTATTTCGAACACGATTTGGATAACCAAATCGTTCCTGCTATACTAATTTATGCGCTTACCAACTTTAGCATTTACTTTTATTTAGAAATATAGATTTAAAAAAATACAATGAAAATTATTACTGGTAAATGTGCTCTAATATTTTTTTATTGTATTTTTTTTATCATTTTTGTAATAAGAATAATAATATTTAACTTCTATCCAATGTCATGTATGACATGTAAGTAAGATTGTTTAAGAATTCGTTCACCCATTGAAGCTACTAAAAGCTATCTTCTGTGGAGGCCAAACACAATGCAGGCGCTTGACTCGACAGTTAAACGGCTACCGAAAACACAACAAATATTTTTAAATTATAATAATAATATGTAAATACTAATTTAAATTCATTATTAAGGAACACCACAGAAAATATACAAATATGTGGTGATTTCATATCTAAA